TTTTTTGAATTTTTTAAACATGTGGACTCAGCACACATGTGAGAGGTTGTCAACCTCGGTTGTACAAATAGAATTTTCCATTACAAACCCGGCCCCGGCCCCTGCCCCCATATCCCCACCCGCCATTGATCTAGGTGTAAACATAAAAATCTCATTTGGAGTTTTAATTTGGAAAAATAGCCACAAAATAAAGAGAAAATTTTAACTTTGGGTTTGCATTAAAATTTTTTTGTTTGGTGTACTACCCCTTGAAGTAAAAATAGCTAATAGTAAGTTCAATATTGATTTTAAATTTTCCTAATCAGTAAAAGATCAAATTTCCGATTAACAGCGCCAAATCTTAATTTTGATTTTCAGTAATAAAAATCATAGAAGTTTAGCAAAACCAAAAATTTCTTCCCGCTCACATTCAACCTTTTTTTGATAATTAAGAATATTCAATTTACACCTCACGAAATCTAGAAGATAACATGTGACTTAATTTAAACAGATTTTTAGTAAATTTTTATAAATTTTTTTATGAAATATGTTGTTGAAAAGTTAATTTATAACAGTAGTGGATTCCATTAAATATGTCGTTAAATTTAACAATGGACTTTGGCTTAGATTTTTATCAACTTTAAAGCTACACAAAACAAGAGCTATATCGACTAAAGAAGATCATCCTTTTGTATATATTTCTAATTTTCCAAACAAGTGAAATTAATTAAAAAGCAACTTCTCATTTCTAATCCAATAAGACTCTCACAGTATCATACAGTCTAAAATTTATTCATTTCAAATTTCAATCTCATCAATATAATAACAACATATATATTTAAATGATGTGACAAAAGAAAAAAAAACCAAAAAGTAAATCTTTATTCCGTTATCACTCCACAGCGAATTTGAAAATTCATGACATAGAATAAAAATTAAGAGGTGTACTGCATTATTAAGCTAAGATCATCTTAAGCATCCGTCCAAAAGATTTAAAGGGAGAAATTTCCAAGTCTTCTGAAGATCCCGGTGTTTGGGCAGGTATAGGGGTGGGTGCTGGTGCTGCGGCGGCTTCTGATACAGTGATCGCAAGCTTCACCCCCTTGGAGCAGTGATCGTCGACCGTACTAATGTACCACTTCTTCCCCGGATTTGCAAAGATAATTACGGCATTTCCATTAGGGCTGTCCGTGGGTCGGTTCGGTTCGGTTCTGAAGATACCCGAACCGACCCAAAACTTTCGGGTATTTAATAAATGGACCCATCGGGTCCAAATATAATTATGGAACCGTTCGGGTTCGGTTCGGT